CCCCCCACCCCCCACACACACACCTTATCACCTGAATCTCCTCCGAGAGCTCCGTTGTGTTCTTTTCAACCAAATATCTTGCAGAGGGGCGTGGGGAGGGGCTCCTTATTTTCATCTAAAGTAACAGACAGAGAATCAGCTCTTTTGAAACAGGGCTGAAACAGAGGGGTTTATGGGATGTTGCAATGCATGATCTGTTTGGTATTTTGAGCCAAACACTTCAGAGACATGTTTGTATGCATTTGAGACCTGTAATATATTGATGAAAAACAATATAATAGGTGACCTTTAATATCTATGCTGTAGGGTTGCCTGTGAATTTTACTCCAGGTAAGTCTTATTTAAGTGTTTAATATAATTCCAATCATTAATAAATATTTGAAAAGTAACTAAAGGTTTCATATAAATATAGTGGAGTAGAAGTTCACAATTGACCTATTGTAGTCAAATATAAGTACAAAGTAACATAAAATGGAATTACTCAGGTAAAGTACCTCAACATTGTACTTAAGTAGGCTACTAAATGTACTTAGTGTAGCAAATTAGTTACATTACACCACTTCTATTTTTACTATAAATATCGACTTCTTCCACCACTGCATTGGCTACTAGTCACAGCTTATTATATCCCTACGAACACTCATGAAGGCGCCTTTGAATCTATTAACAGCTGTATAAGCCAACAAAATACACATACAAAAAATAACATGCATTTCTGCCTGCCTGAGTTATAATAATAACCCTCTAGTTAAGTCACGCAAACTTGTGCCTGAATGCCATTCATATCTGTAAATGCAATCATGATGCTCCAAAACTGCGGAAGCAAGACACGTTTTGGTATCTTGACACAGACATCTCTCAGCGCACCGTGAATGCATCTGAGTGTTGCGGGTGAGGGGGGGAGCAGCTGAGACACAAGTGACCGCTAGCTTCATGTCAACCACACTCCTGAACCTGCAACAGCGGAAATCTGTCCCAGGGAAGAAGGAGAGGGAGAGACAGAGGGGGTGTCGCTGGAAGGGATACTCGACTGTATTTCCTGACGTTTGAACCGACTTAACATTTGCATCGGTTTGGGTTTTTCCCCTATTTTTAAAAAGGGGGATATCAGCTGTAGGAAGAAGTGTTAGCTAGCCACCGCCATCTCCTCTCAGTCGGAGCGACCGCCGTGTCTTCCACACCATGGGGAACGCTGCCACCGCCAAGAAGGGCAACGAGCTGGAGAGCGGTGAGTTTTTGGGCTTTAACTGTGTTTTATGTTATATTTATGAACCCTCCTCAATAACGGTAGCTAGCCTGTTATTACACTGAAACTGTGGTACAGTATTGTTGAAAGCAGGGGAGGGCCGTGCGTCCGTCATCCCCCGCACTGTTATCCAAAGAGCGCTGCAAAACACTCGCCCTTTTTATGTGTCGATATTTGTCAAAGCTTGACATTTTTGGTGTGATTTTTGCACGTTACATGAGTACAAAAATGGCCTAGCTAAGTTAGCTGTTAGCATAAAGACCCCGTGGATGTTGTGGTTTTCTTGGCTGCAAGGGGGTGGGGAGCAGGGGGAGCGTTGACAGTGTTAACATCCCATTAAAGCCTGTTACAGCGCCGTGAAATCAATAGGTATCGAGAAATTCCCCTTATTGATGATTTCACGCGTTAAAAGGGTTGTTTGCATGGCAATTGGAGCACAAGAAAGACCCAGTTTGATGACCAGCTAGCCTGCTAACTTTAGCTGTGGGGAGGGGGATTAGCCCTCAGAAGGCCCCTGTCATTTCATTGCCTCTTGATGGTCGTAGCTGTTCAGGCCTGCCCACACACAGTTAGCCGTGGCGTGTTTTGTCGATTACTATCTAAACCCTTTGACTAAACGTTTCCAAATTAGCATCATCTCCTCATCCCCCCTTTTACTTAATACAAATCAGTATATGAGTCTTACTGTACTTATTGTTTTTAATAACCAATACATTTAACTTAAAGGCAGTGTGGGATTGTTTCTGCCTCTGTCTTCTCTGCCACATCTTATTCTTGGCTACATAAACAAAGCTTTCTTACTGCACAGCACCCTGACCAAATATGGTGAAGAAATGACAAATGTGCTCTTTCCATTCATAAAACTGGGACCTACTAGTGTCTTCCCAGCATATGCACGCCCGCTCAGACAGAAACACTTGTATTGTGACATTTGTGTTTATTTAGAGCCCCTTTTTCTAATCTTGCCATGGTAGAGGTCCATCAAGGCTGACTTCTCTCATTGAGCTCGTCATTGACTGGAGCGGCTTGTCATCAGACCTTCGTCAGAGGATAAGGGGCATTACAAGCTTTGAAAGGTTTGACGTAACTGGGGCCAGGACAGTGTTACTTTGTGCTGGTATACTTTGATGTGTGCAGCTGGTCATCATTGAGCATCCTCCTGAATGATAAATCACTAATGTTTCCCCTATACCTGGCTGTAAACATAAAAGCTGTGGGTGTTGTTGTTATACAGAATTGATTGCACGAAATCCGTCACTGAAACTACCTTCATTTATTTGTATTATCTTAAAAACACGCAGAGTACTGACTGTTCAGTTACACGATTAGTTTGTTTGAAGTAGCCTCACTTTATGATGCAGTGAAATACCTTCCCTGAGATTTATTGACCTGTTGAGAATGAACATGCAGGCGCAGAGAGCGGTGCCAGCCAGAGACACGCAGGCAGACAGAGATGATCAGATCAGCAATACTTCCCTTTGTGCCACGCATATCTTTTGAGTGTAACTATGATCCCTAGATCCTGCGCTGTGGCTAACTGTTAAACCCGTTTAAGCTGACACTGTGCCCTGAGCTGCAGATTTGTGTGGTGCGTAGTCGCTCTGACAGGACGACCTGGGGGCCTACGGAGTTGTATATATACACTGGAGTACCTGTGTTTACTGTATATATAGCTGCCACTAGCACCAAGGCAGTCACGCTTGCACAGGGAAATTAAACAGCTGCCATCATGACACCTATTTTATTTCACTGTGCCCGTGTATTGTGTTTCACTCTGTTGTGTAACAGAACAGGCCGACATAACTGAACCATGTTATGCTTGTCCGGATTTTGGCATTGCTTTCAAGATGGCCAACTGTGCTGGCTTCGGACCATTTTGTTTGTCTCCCTAGGTACCAAATGTTGGAGAGACATTTGTCGGGACAAAAATACCCTCATATTATTTAACTGTTTAAAGTTTCTGTGAGTGGATAGGGGATATTAAGTCATAATGAATGTTGTTTTGTTGCCTTGCAACTAACTTTTTTCAATTTCAAGCAATCTGCACATTCTTTTCTTTAATCGGTCAGTATAAACCAGAGCTGCCTACCATGTTGAAGGTTTGTTGCTAAAGTGATTAGTCTGTGTAGTATTTTTTAAACGTAAATTACCTTGATGTATAAACTGTTTCAAGCAAGAATGCCAAAGATAAGAATATCTTGAGGTTTGAGGACGGTTGGTCGGACATCATCGCCTTTGTAGATACTATATATATAGTAGAGGTTGGTGTATTGATATAGTAGTGTTGTAATAGTACAGTAGTATAATAGTATGGATAATAGTTTCATTCCTACATAAGACACACACGCAGCAGATCCTGACAATCTAGAAGCTAAAACTATGAAATGTTTGTCTCCCTTTTTTATTTAAAATGTAATCAATTATCAGAATAGTTGCAGATCGTTTTTATATGAACTATATTGTACTAATTCATCATAGTTTCAAAACTATTATCAGGAGAGACATTCTCAGATTAAAACGCAGGAAAAAAACTCATTATAGGCTTCATACATTCTTTTAAATCTTTGTTGTATAATATAGGTTTGCAATAGTTTGTTCTCTAGCAGTATTATCTTGTCCATCTCACCTAATATGCACGACTGAATCTCAGCTTCATGCCATTTTGTTACACCTGTTCCTCAAATACCGCAGTAGACTGTCAGTCTATGTTTAAATTCCTCGGGTGATTGTCAACTCTGTTTTCATTCCTGTCTCTTTTATTCACTACATATCTTCATGTTTGTTGATCTTTTATACTTGTTGTTATGTACATGAACTCTATATTTCTCTCTGTCTTCTCTTCCGTATCATCCCATCCATCTGGGTGGTTGTTCCTGCAAAACCTTGGTGATCAATAGAGACTTTTGGTATGCTCATTCCTCCCAAAGATGACCAGTATGGCAGAACGACATTCGTTTTTATTCATAGTACTTGCTAGTTGTGCTGCTTGCCTTTATTGCGTGCTTTGTTAATAAGTCCGTGTTTTTGTTATCCTCATTCTCTCAATCTGGATTTTCCATACATTGGTTTGTCTTTGCTTACCATTTCTTCTGCTGTGTTTAATAGCCTTCCCCTATACTGTAATATGTATCTATGCGCAAGATGCCCAGAGAACCTTACCCTGTAATTATAAGTGTTGTTTTCCCCCCTTCCTTTGGAGGCTACTAAATAACAGAATATCCCGAGTGTCTTGGCATGCATCACTAGTCTTGAATGTTGTCGTCTTGTGTTTTGTGTGTTGTCATGTCTCTTCAGAGCAAAGTGTTGGTAGTCACATCTAATGTATATCCAGATGAGAGTTGACGTTGCACATGTTTTTCTCCATTGATTTACAGTTTAAATGTCATTTCTGACATGTTTTAACTATCCCCTTTTTTAGTATGATAGCATTTGGTATTTTTGCCAGTTTAATCTTGAACTCAAATGTGTTTTTAATGTAAATAATCTAGTTTTTTCACTAGACGAGTGTATGCTAACTGTATCTGTCTGTGCTCTTTCGTTTTGTAGTAAAAGAGTTTCTAGCCAAAGCCAAAGAAGATTTCTTACGGAAATGGGAATGCCCAGCACAGGTGGGAATAAGGAAAAATGATTTAAACACAATGTTCCGTAGCTACGTCCATAGAGGCTAACAAACTGTTTTATTTCCACAGAGCACTACGTGCCTAGATGACTTTGAGAGATTAAAGACCCTGGGTACTGGCTCATTTGGAAGAGTCATGCTGGTGAAACACAAAGGCACAGAGCAATACTTTGCCATGAAAATACTGGACAAGCAAAAGGTCAGTGGGAGCCGGAGTTGGGCCTCATGGAACATTTTCCACTAGATAAAAGTGTTTACATGTGCCGTGTACACTTAATACACTAACCTCCTTATCTCCCTAAAATAACATTTAAAATGTGTTTGTGTTGATTTGTAGGGGACACAAGTAAAATAAATAAATAGAAAACTAAAAGCTGCTTTCAGTGCCAGCTATTTGCTAGTGTAAGTGAGATTTCCCCGACAAGGTCATCTTATCTCTTGTTATCTGTCAGGTGGTGAAACTCAAGCAAATAGAACACACACTAAACGAGAAGAGGATACTACAGGCTGTGAGCTTCCCCTTTCTCGTCAGACTTGATTACGCGTTTAAGGTAAAGTGTGTTTTTTAAAATTCATTTATTATCGTAACTGAAATTCCATTATACAGTTTTGGAGCAAGTTTATTTTTGATCTTTTCTTTTAGGACAACTCCAACTTGTACATGGTGATGGAGTACGTTCCAGGAGGAGAGATGTTCTCACACCTAAGACGAATTGGAAGGTTCAGGTTAGTTTTGTCATCAACTAATTCCATACAAATACACAGTGTCCAAATATTGAATTTACTCTTTATTTTCTGCCGTGTGTCATAACATACATTGATTTGTTCGTGACAGAGAAGTGACCACTCTTCTTCTTCTTCTTCTTCTTCTTCTTCTTCTTCTTCTTCTTCTTCTTCTTCTTCTTCCGCTGCTTTCCGCTGCGTCATGGAGCACAGAGAGGCTGCAGGAGCGAGGTCTCACTCTGACTCTTTTCACAGGTATCCCTTCAGTGTGATTTATAGAAACACTCACCTGAGCTGCTTCACCTGAGCCTTCAAGCAACACGGTCCTAAACTGAGAGAGGACCCAAGAACTTAAATAAAGTGTGAAAATAAAAAATATAACACGGAATAATAAAGAATTTAAAGCCAAGTAATAAAATAACCCAATAAGAGAGAGAGACCTCTACACCTCATCTAACTGGTAGAGAGAGAGAGAGACCTCTACACCTCATTCAACTGGTAGAGAGAGAGAGAGACCTCTACACCTCATCTAACTGGTAGAGAGAGAGAGACATCTACACCTCATCTAACTGGTAGAGAGAGAGAGAGAGAGAGAGACATCTACACCTCATCTAACTGGTAGAGAGAGAGACCTCAACACCTCATTCAACTGGTAGAGAGAGAGAGACCTCTTCACCTCATCTAACTGGTAAAGAGAGAGAGAGAGAGAGAGAGAGACATCTACACCTCATCTAACTGGTAGAGAGAGAGAGAGAGACATCTACACCTCATCTAACTGGTAGAGAGAGAGAGAGAGAGAGAGAGAGAGAGAGACATCTACACCTCATCTAACTGATAGAGAGAGAGAGAGACCTCTACACCTCATCTAACTGGTAAAGAGAGAGAGAGAGAGAGAGAGAGACATCTACACCTCATCTAACTGGTAGAGAGAGAGAGAGAGAGAGAGACCTCTACACCTCATCTAACTGGTAGAGAGAGAGACCTCTACACCTCATTCAACTGGTAGAGAGAGAGAGAGAGAGAGACCTCTTCACCTCATCTAACTGGTAGAGAGAGAGAGAGAGAGAGACATCTACACCTCATCTAACTGGTAGAGAGAGAGAGAGAGAGAGAGAGACATCTACACCTCATCTAACTGATAGAGAGAGAGAGAGACCTCTACACCTCATCTAACTGGTAGAGAGAGAGAGAGAGAGAGAGAGACCTCTACACCTCATCTAACTGCTATATTATAGTTACTTTGACCGGTGAACAACATCTTCATATTGGAACCAAAATTATTTTAATATTTANATGTTCAGATGAAGACTAAACAAGAGAATGCTTCCTGTGGCTGGTTCTAGCTTAAACCATGGTTTAAAGGTCACCTATTATGCAAAATTCACTTTTTCATGTCTCTTATACATCAACACGTGTCCCCTCTGTATGACGAGATTCTGAAAGTTTCAGGAAACAAGATTCTCTCTCCTTTTGTCCTGATCCATTTATATAAAAACCTGTCTAAAAAAAGGGCTGATCAGATTTTTAGATGTCATAATGTTGAAACAGAGGGGATTATGGGATGCTGCAATGATCTGTTTGGTGTTTGGAGCCAAACACTTCAGAGACATGTTTTTTATATATCTGAGACCTATAATATATTGATGAACAGTATAATAGGGGACCTTTAAGATAGATAGGAGATAGATTCATTTCAATGTCAGCTGCTCACTGGCGCATGAAAACGGACATTTTGCTGTAGGTACAGTGGCAAGAAAAAGTAAGTGAACCCTTTAGAATAGACTGCATTAATGTATAATTTAGTTTTTAATGTGGTCTTATCTTCACCTAAGAACAATAATCATTCAACAAACACAATCCGTGTTTACTAAAAGCATACAAATCATTGTTTAGTTCTTGTTCATATTGAATAAACCATCCAAACATTTACAGGTTTGAAAAGTATAGGAACAACACAAGTCAATTGAGTAAGGAGTTAGCAAACATCGTTTTAATCAGTGAAACGAAATTAGAAGGGTTGTTTGAGCTATTTTGACTCAGAGTCATGGGCGTAGTTTCCACTGGGGACAGGGGGGACATGCCCCCACTTTTCAAAATCCTGTTTGTGTCCCCCCCACTTTTCAAATGTGTTTATTATCATTTTTTACGCAAGCGTTCATCGTCACGGAGGAGCGTCTGTGTGTGTGATTTTGAGAGAGAGAGAGAGAGAGAGAGAGAGAGAGAGAGAGAGAGAGACCTCTACACCTCATCTAACTGCTATATTATAGTTACTTTGACCGGTGAACAACATCTTC